TTTTGCTTAAAACAAAAACAAAAGAGAAGGGAACATTTTTGGTTTGTTAGCAGGATCAATTGAAAAGCTATGGATGGATTTTAATTAAAATTTTATCAGAGGTGTGCCTCATGTCAAGGAACAATGAAGTTTAATTTATGAATGATCCGGATCATGGGCGAGTTTTATCTAAAGTTTTAAGTTACAATTAAAGGCAAAATTTTCTGCCAAGCAGAGGTCTGCACTCTTCGAGTGCTTTTGTATTTGGTAATGTGACAAAATGCAGAAAATATCTAGGGTGTGTCAACGCTTGCAAGACACTTTCTTTTTTTCATAGTAGAAAAAATGGGCCAGGAACAGAATCTAATACCATATAATTATGGATGAGGAATGGAATAAGATAACTCCAGTGTCAGCTTGGGGTATTTTCCATAGGTTAATAGATGGAAAGCAATGAGAAACAACAGTAAATAGAGAGGAAGCATTTGGACCATTTTATGAGAAGAACTTACAGCAAAAAAAAACTAAAAAAAAAAACTGGTGCAATTTAAGTCTTGCTGGTCTTTTAAGCTATGGGTGGATATTCTGATGACGAAACCAATGAGTTGACAACATTGCAAAACTGGCCCTGTCCATCAGTAGGATGAGTCAAGTTATTCATATATGACATTCAAAAATGTTGTTTTGTTAAAGTGCAAATTAGGATGTTTGAAAACACAGAAAAATACACTAGCATTTATCGTTCAGTGAAATATTTCTTTATCCAAAACACTTGGATACACTTAGTTTGCCTTCATGGCAACAAGACAAAAAAAGGCCTACTTTTAAGTAGAAGTCTGAATGAATAATTTGTTTTTAATTTGGGCTATGAATAGAAGTTTAATGAAAGGAAGATTAAATCAGATTAAATCATCATCCAGTAGCTCAATCACTCTAATTGTGTTGCACAGAAAATGTATAATGGATACACCGACACGACTTTCTATATCAAACATGAAAGCAAACAAAAGCTAAATGAATCAAAGTTTTTTATTTGTTGTATTGAAAAAATACAGTTACTTAAACTTGAATAGTTTGTTTAGATAAATTAGTAAGAAAGACAATTTTGCTTTCATATTGTGTTTCTTTGCTTAAAGGTACTATAAACTCTCATATAATATAAAAGATAAAAAGGCAAAACAGGAAAGTAACTACCTGTATTTATATGACTCTTTCAATCCTTTTGTCCTGGTCTCAAGTTTGTGATTTCTCTTTAAAATACTCCAACACATATGCCACATTTTTGTATAATTTGTTCTTTTTCAATGTGGTAAAGCTTCAACTGAATATCCCTGTATATAAAAACTATATAATCACCTTCAAGGACTCACAGCATCATACACAAACTGTCACCTGTTTCTCATCACAGCGTTTATCCCAGCAAAGAACGGCTGACTTTGTTCTGGTTTCCCTGCTTACTTCAAAGGCGTAGTTAGATTAAAGAAGGGGGGTAGGTTTTTTTTCTCCATCTCTGCAACCTTACTGCTCCATGTCAACTATTGGAATTTAAATGGAGCTGATGTAGATGAGAAGAAATCATTCATGACTTCATCAAAGAGGATTATTTTTGAACTACAGGTGAGCAGTGGAAGTGGTTAACTATTTTTTTATTTTCTAATATTTACCTGCATTGTCTTGGTTTGGTATCAACATTTGTTAGTTTTTCTGCCAACCGTTAACAGAGCACCAACCAGTTTCACTAACTGGACTGACACTAGCTGCACATTAAGTACGCTCAACAAGCTAAACGTCTTCTAAAAGTTTTGTAAATAAACATTAGATATAGTTTCATAACGACATTAAGCATTCTTTATTCCTGCCAAAAAAAAACAACAACAATACAAATGATCTCTTTAGGCTTGCAAGTTGTTGAGCTTTATCATAATTTTAATCAATTACCAAGAGCTCCAACCCTAAGGCCATGTATTCAATTCAGTTTATTTATATATATATTGTTATATAATTCATAACACATGTCATCTCAAGGCACTTTACTAAGACAATTTAACCAGATAATACAGTCTAATTATTTTTGAGGTTTTCTATCTAAGGAAAACTAGTTGATTGTATTGACTTTTTGACTCAAAGGGAATCCCTCACAGCAAGCATGCTTGTAGCGACAGTGGAGAGAAAAAACTCCCTTTTAACAGGAAGAAACGTCCAGAAGAACCAGGTTCATTGTGAGCGGCCATTTGCTGAGGCCGATGGGTTTAAGGAAAAAGAAGCAGAATTATTATAAATATAATTCTGTAGGCACAAGCTGAATTACCTTATTCAGTTTTTTTTAATAGTTCTGTGTACTGCTTTTCAAGGAATATCTCCTACAGGTACCGACACTCATCTTATCTAGTTATATAGGTGTTTTTGATCACTTAAAAGTAAGTTTTCTGATATTTATTCACAATTTCGATGCCATGCATGTGCAAAAAATAATGAAACTGTCCTGCTGTGTTTATATCAGATAAACTGATTTTCTGAACTAAATACATGTATGAAACATTTTATAGAAGGTGATGCCCGGAGCGCCTTAGAAAGAGCTACAGCTCGGATACACAGCATCAGGCCATCTGTCCTCGTTAGGGTATTGAGCTATAAATATGCATAAAAGTGTAAGCCTGTTTGTGTCTAAAAATACAATTGGTGTATAACTGATCCCCATCTAGATGTATCCAATTATTTTTACTTTGGACCTTGGAAACTGATTGCAATATTCCTTATTAGCTCCCACCTTTCTGTCAAACAGATGCTACAATGCCTTGGATATAGTATGAGGAAGATAGGCAGAGTTTATGTATTGCTTACCTTATTTAATATTATGCATAAAGGCCCCAGTGATTAGTATGCCTTCCTGAAGCGTCTCATTAATTCCTCAGTTCAGTGGGCTGTGGACAGGCACCACAGACTGACAGGGGGAAAGGAGACTTCAACACTGTCTTTTTGATGCTTTAGCTGTGATGCTTTCTTTAAAGCGTGGACATGCTTTTACTCCTCTCAAACTCCTCATGCACATGTCCTACCCCCCACGCTGTCAGTCATGTCCAATATGAATACATTAAAAGTGTTAATGGCTGTGACTTGGTAAAATAAATCCCTAGGAGTTCCATTAGGCATAAGACATTGAATTGATTTGATGTTTTTGGGGAAAATTTTTTTTCTCTAACTTAAGGAAAACTTTCTAAAGGAGAACCCATTTTTTTCCTCACCATATATGGTACATACGTTACAAAAAAACCCCCAAAAAACAAACAAAAGAACTATGAAAAAGCAACAACTAAATATGCAGATTAGACAATTAAAATGGGCTCACCACAGTGTATTGACCACACTAGTGAACTTTGTGTAATAAATAAAAAAAATTCAACCAATCTAGTTAAGTTAATAGTTTAATTCTTTGAATTAGTTATTAATGTAGACATATTTAGGGTTGACTGATACAAAAAGTAAGCAGAATGTGATGACTTCTCCCCAATTTGAGGGGTTTAGTGGCAGTTACTTTACAAAAATGTAGTGTTGTATTCAAGACCACACCAACTGAGAACAAGGACTACAGAGACAAGGCTAAGACCAAGACATTTGTAGACGAAGACCTTATATCAGGCATCCCCAAACTCGGTCCTCAAGGGCCGCTGTCCTGCAGGTTTTAGAGGTTTCCCTGCTTTAAAACAGCTGATTATAATGATTGCAGTAGAGCAAAAGCCTGTTAATTAGCTTTCAATTAAAATCAGCAGTGCTGGAGCAAGGAAACCTCTAAAACCTGCAGGACAGCGGCCCTCGAGGACCGAGTTTGGGGATGCCTGCCTTATATGGTCTTGGTCTTGGCCACTAAATATCTTGGTCTTGTCTTGATCTCTTACAGGTCTTGGTGTCATTATCTCGGTGCTGATGTCAGGTCTGATCATTCATTTCACTCACCTGTTTATCTCCGCCCAGCATCTGTTTAACCGGCCCTTAACCAGTCATCAGTGCCAGATTATTTGAGCCTTTGGTGAGAGTTCTCTAGCATACCTGTGTTTCTGATTGCCTGATACTAACCTGTTCTGCCTCTGGGATTCTGAGTCTGCCTGTCCCCATTCTGATCTGTTTGCCTGACCTATCTTCGGACTCCCGCTGGATTTCTGCTTGTTTGGGAACCGAAGCTGAACTATTTCCCAACACCGTTCTGATCTCCTGGTTCTGACTTCTGAGCGCGTCTTCGACACCAGCTTTGGCTTCACCCTCTGGATTAACCTGCCTTCCTTTGTCTGTGTTCTGATCTCCTGCCTGTCCTCTGGAACATGGGACTCTGTGGGTGCCGCCCGCCTTCTGGGCTCGGACTGAACTATAAGACCATGTTAGTAACTCACACGTTTTCATTATCATCCTCCGACAGATAGACATGTTCACTAACCTGCTGCCTCAAGCAGTGTTTCCTGCTTTAGATGCCGACACTATTCACTGCGGTTCCATTTCTAATAACATTTTGAGAAATCTGTCTTTCTGCCTCAAATACTGCATCCAATGGTTCTGAGCTTGATGCTTGGCCATGTTGTGGTTTCTGTACACCTCGGTCTTGACTACAGCACTATCAGTTTTATATAACTATAACAACTTTTTTTAAGTTGTCTACCAAAAAAACTTTAAAAGATACCAAGCTTGCACTTTTTTGCTACTAAAGAAGAAAAAGAGACATATTTCAATTAAAAGTCTATATAGTAGAAATTTCTTTGAATTAATACAGTAAAAAGCAATTATGCAAAAATAAAAGCTAATATAAACTATAGTTAATAAATAATGAAATGCCTTGCCATGCAAAAACAATTCGAATGTCTTATCTGCCACAACAAGGGAAGAGGCAAGCGCTAATTAGCTAGCGTCTTTGAGAGAAATTTTGAACTTTTTTTTTTTTTTACGCATTTTGACAAATGTGTTTTCACAAGCGGGGATAAAAAGACACAAATGAATTAATATATGAAGAAGGTTAAAAGCTTTGGACAAGAGGGAAATGCTTTGTGTTGCTTTCTTTATTCAATTTTACAAACATCATTATCAACAATTACTGAACTTGAGGCCTTGTTTACAGTAAAAAAAAAGCATTTTTTCCCAGAAAAGCTGAAAATATAATACAAAGTTTATCCAGTGCATTAAAAATTGTTGCTTTCCCCAAGATAACCACTTCAAGAGAATTAGACTTTTAAATCAATGTACAATAAATACAATTAACAGTTAACATTATAAATAAAATAATTAGTATTTTAACAAAACACACAGATTAATCTTCAAAGTTTCACAATGATTTAATTTAAAAAGGATTCGAATTCTTGATGATTCTTTTTAAGGAATAAGATGAGGTAATTTTTTCAACCTTTTCAATACATGTCTTCAGTTCCTCTTTCAGATGACATATTGAGGTTTTCAGTGCTGTAAACTGCTATATGTTTACGAGACAACACTGAATCTGATGCAAATAGAACATACAGTAATTGTCCCCAGCAGGGATTTTCTTTTTTGGATTTCTCCTTCTTTTGCTGCTCTGGCATACAGCTCAAGCTATAGTACAATCAAATAGTCTCTCCTTGACAGTATCGGATTACTTATAAACATATACATAAGAAATTGCAATAAACGTTTACAATACATTGACATTCTGCATAAAAAAAGAATCCTTACAAAATTCTTTGAGATACCAAAGCATAAAAATACTGCAATCTTCCCAATATAAAAGGCCAACTTGAACGAGGCAAGTAAAATTGCTTCATAAAATATGAAACACAAGGATGGCAGATTGTAATGGAGACACAACAAGGAGTATATAAAGTTTGTTGGTTCATTCTTATATCATGTTTGATTAAACCAACTTGCTACAAGGTACCACCTTCACCAAAATGTTTGGTCCAGCTTAAAAGGCTAATATATGGTACTCATTTCTGAACATTCTTCAACGGTTGGTAAAAAGCTGCTCCAGGAATGCTACAGTTATTCACCACTGACATTTCTTGATTTGCAGTAATTTCACAGAAAGACAGTTTTCCAAGCTGATATAAAACAAGGGCATGTTTTTGACATGTCTTTTAAACAGTGGTGACAGAAAGAAAGGCATTGTGAACTTGAGAGCCCTCTGGGACCCTTGCACCATGGCTCATCAGCTCTTGGATGGTCATCCAGTTGTCCAGAATCTTTTTGTTACGCTTTTTCATCATTTTTTTGTGACTGAGCTCCAAGATATTGATCTCCTTTCTGCCTTCAGCTCCACTCACTGGTCCTTCCTTTAAGCAGTCGAGACGGCTTTTCTGCATGAATTCCCTCCTCTTTCTTTGCTCCCTGGCCCTCGCCAAATGCTGCTTCCTCTCCTCCTTGCTCCAGTAGCGGCCCATTTTCATCTCACTCATTGCATCGTCATCTGTGGTCATGCCTCCACTCCTCTCTTCTCTGATTCGAAGTGCCCGCTCTCTCAGTATACGGTCACGGGCAGGTCTACGTGCAACATAACGTGTCCCATCTGCACGAACTTTGACTTTCCACTCCAGGCGAGGCTCCCCTGTTCGTCCGTTACGGTTCATAGGATCTCGACACACACTGAGGAGGCTCAGTTGGCTTTGCGAGTACTCTAGAGCGGAGTGCTGCTGCAACAGCTGCATATAGCTCTGCAAAAATAAAAACAAATTATTAAAAATATGGTGTTCAGCACAAAGTTATATACAAATGCATTACTCAGAGAAGATTTATATGGAAATATTTTTTTGATAATACAAACCTGAAGTTGTTTGGATCCCCCCTGGCCATGATAAGTGCCTGTCTGATATGAAACCCCATAGGGAAGAGCTCTCCTTGAGTCTCTGTTCCTTCCCTTTTTGTCGCACCTTTCATCATCAGCTGGTAGTGCTGGGTCTGACTCAGACCGTGAAGGATTGCTCTGGTCAGGGCTGCTAGAGATAACTGGACCTTGATCTGCTGGTCTGCAAGGATTATGTGTACCCTGAGGCTTGGGAATAGGAATGGGATTGGATGATGCAGTAGACGCCAGTCTGAGGTTTTTCTGGTTGGTGATGCTTATTTTTCTCCGCAGGGAATGATCAGGGGATCTCTCCATTCCTAGTGGGGTTGACCTAGCACTCTCTGCTGTGTTGTAGGCGCTAGAGCTGTCCTTCTCACGAACTCTATCGCTTTCAGATCTCTCTGGGTATTCATGAATATCATCCAGCCTCCCGTGTGGCTTGTGTGCATTTTTAAAGTTCATTCCTGGTGAGCAGGGTGCAGAGTGGGATTGCTCAAGCTGCTGAGACTGTCGTAGCTGATGGGCTTGCATAATGCTCTGGCATTCTAATTCAATACTACGAAGCTCTTCGTTTAGCATCTTTAACTCCTGCTCTACCCCTCTCGCTGCGCCACCTTCACTCTCACTCTCTCCATCCCGTCCACCTTGTCCAGTGAGACTACACTCTATACTGTGTCGAATAGAGTACACCCCACATTCACCTCCATTACGGATTTGGCACTTGAGTTCTAAGAGCTGTTGAAAGCAGTTCTCTAAACCTCGGACTCCACATCCACCATTGCGAATACTAACTACACTTTCATTGCCTTGGCTTGTTGAATGGGTTCTTGTGCTCTGGGCTTCGTGTGACACAGCATTCCCTCGCTTGTTGTGCTGATGTTCTGACTGCCATCGATCCCTTAGACACTGGGCTGGACTCCTCCTATAGAGTCTTGCCAATAAAGGTTGGTGCTCAGGGCTGTCTGTGCTGCGCCCAAATCCACTGTCAAGATTGTTGGAAGAACAGGTTGCTGTATCTGTCGTAATGTCCCCATCACATTGAAGCTTTAAATAAAGAGAAGAGGACTCCTGTTATTGCTGGGTATTCAATTCATTTATAAGAGTAAAGGATTTCATCAGTAGTTTAGTCACAGTTTAAAAGGAAGAACAAATAACATAAGCATACATTGTGGATGTCAGAGTTGATCCTGTGCAATATTTATGTTTAATGCCAAATTTAGAGAGTTTATAGTTCAATGTGAATTTAGAAATTTTGGACATAGCAAAAAAATCATGTAATCAGTAAAAAAACAAAGTTTTCCAATTGGCCTTGGTTCGGCATTTTTCTGATCGTAGTGAAACCCTTTAGTTTATTGTGAGGTCTAGGAACAAGACCTTGGAGAAATTGACAAACACATGATTTAAGATAGTTTATATGTTACAATGATCAATACCTTTACCAATGATATACAGCCAAATTCATTTATCCCAAAGGTTACTCTTAAATATGTATACTTAAAACTGAATGAAATAAACTACCGCGGTGAAGTAATCAATACAAGATTTTAGTAATATATGGAAAGAATGACATGCGCAAAGGTTTTTCTGCTTGGACTTCCAATTTCCCACAGCCTTATAAAGAATGATGCCGTGATGCCATACATCAAATGTTGACTTTCACCGTTCTTCCTCAGTTATCTCTCTTTTGGACATTTATTGCACTTTGATTTGCTTTGCTCTGTGAACAACCTCACCTTATCTGCCATTTCAAAGCTTTGTTCCATCTGCTTCCTCCTCTCCTCTAATATCTCCATCTTCAGCTCTTCAACAAGCTGTTGTTGCTCATCATCCAGCCACACTGCCTCCTCCTCTAGCTGTAATCACAAGATCTTGTCAGAGTCCTTCCTCAGGTTTTGTACCACTGTCTGTGTATGTGTGCTTGTGAACTCTAAACAACACCGTTGACAGGGGGGAAAAAAGCAAAAGGCTCTCTGGAAGCAGGTGCTTTCATCTGACATGACACAGGTTGTCAAGGCAGGGCGAGAGGGCTGCGTAGGTGTGTATGTGTGTTTACCTGGATCTCTGGCCTTGTCACCAGAAGTGTGATGCTCTTTGCCTGTTCGCTTGACAACAACGCAACAGCTTTCTCCCGGTCTTGCACTTCAAAGCCATTTATCTGCAAACCAAAGACCACCGTTTTATTTCAGAAGGATTATCATAATATCCTCAACAGAAAAGAAACTGGAGAAAATGTATACATTTGCGTGGCTAATCAATCTTTTTGGAATCTAAAACCTTCGTTTTTTCCCAAACAATAAATTTTTACTCCATTTGACTTTGTTTTCACAAATTTCTTTTTATAATTTATCTTTATGTCTCCGCTGTGCTTCCACTTTCTCAAAATATGAATGAGTCAGTTGTAGAACTTTGCTCTTGCCACACCATCCAGACACACAATTAACTGTTCTTTGACAGGTGGCGTTCATCTTTTGCTCACTAGAGTAATGGGGCAGTCAGGGGAAGATAATAAGGCCAGGAGTACAGCAGGCTTTGTCCCCCCCAATCATTCATTCAGGATGAGGAAACAAACAATGCACCAAGAGAATGAAGATACTCAGGGGTCAATATACAATTAATAAAGATGAGTTGGAGTCTCTGCCTGGACTTAAAGCTACTAAGAATTTAATTTGCAGAGATAAGCAGTGATAACAGATAATTCCAATTTTAAGAAAAACCTAATGATAGGAAAACTCTTTTTGAAGTTTTTGATAGAGAATTTACACCTATTTGTGGGAAATAGCTTAGCAAATCCAAAAAACAATCCACTGGACTTTTTTTTCCAAGTTTGAGGACATTTCTCTTCCCATCCAGGAAGCTTTTGCAATTCAAGTTCGAGGTTTTATACAGTAACCCATCAAAACCTTGCCTTGCAAACCATTAATTGAAGACATAATATACAAAATGAATAAATGTGAGTCGGACAGGAAGTTCATTTTTAAATCACTTGTTTCCAGATTTAAAACTGTGAAAGTTGGAATGATCCAAATGCTAGAAGCTACTCCACTGAGAATCTACTCTCAAGTCTTCTCATATAAATGGGCAAAAACTGTCTGCATCTTCTCCACAAAGCAATCATACCTGCCGTCTTTGTGCAGTGCTTTTGCATATTGTGCCTCCCTGTAGGATGTGCTAAATAAATTCTCTAACCCCTCCAAACGTCTTCATCGTGACAGGCAGTGACGGGCGCTCCACACTATTTGTCATTAAACATTTCTATACACAATCTTACTTGATTACCAAAAACATTCCCACTAATTGCACAAGTCATCCAGTACTCCTTATTTGGTGCGTTAGTAGGGAGTGCATATGTAATAAAGACTGGTAACTTGCTATGTTTACACACCAGTTTAAACCAAATTACTGAAAGGGCATATAATATTTGTTGAATGTAAGAGAAAATCGTAGATAGAAAAATTTATCAGAATCAGAATGAGACATACTTTAATAATCCCAGAGGGAAATTACATAATCCCAGAGGGAAATTACTTTATGCGCATTTACTTAGCAAGTAAATACGTGTTAGGGTTGATGGGTTGGTGACATATGCCAATCGAGGCTTATGTAAAAGGCTGATGTCAGAATGACAAGATTTTCAGTTTATTATTTCATTGGTTCAGTAGAAACAAGTCAAAAGAATCTGCAATAACAATCATAAAAACCCTATTCACCAACATTATTGATCTGCTTTAAAATAGGCATAAACGCTGAGATGGAGCACATCTTCTAAACCAAAATCATTTGTTTATGTGTTTCTGCTCCAGTTAGATTAATAACCACAGATCGTTGTTAAGACAAAGCTACTCAGAGTCTGTGACCCCATGGAGAGCTTTGCATAATGAGAGCCAGAGCAGGGAAGTGTTTTCAGAGATGATGTAGTGCCTGAAAAACTGCAACTAAGGACTTCAATTTCCATGTAAAACGAGGTGATTAAATATACATATCCTTGCCCAGACCCGAGACAGCAGCAGCTCAGGTATTCTCTGGTTTTACTTCATTCTCAGGTTAAGCAACAAGGGTGGATAATGTATCTGCAGAATTTTTATTCCACTTGGTTTAGATTTTTTTTTCAGTTAAACTGTTGTAGTTTTGAAGGATAGATATTACATTTGGAACAATATGATATAACCTGATGATTGTAGACTGTTGTCTCTGAAATTAAATATTTTACCTGCAAAATGCGATCTCCTTCCTTAATGCGTCCGTCTCTAGCAGCTATGCTGTTTGGCTCCACCTGCACAAAAGAACCAAGAAATCAATGCTGACAGACGGTCTTTGAGTGTGTCTGTGTTCTCCGAAATACAGCTGCAATGTTTCAAGCTCAAACTGCACTTTGATGTGTGCTGTTTGCAGAAAACACAAATTTTCCCTATAGACAAACAATACCTTTTTCAACCTCAGTCTCAAACCGGCATTTTTCAAAAGTTAAAGGCTGGCTTTTTGCAAACTCTAGGTACTTGGGTTTAATTCAGAATCAAGTGTCAGAGGATGGTAACAAAGAAACACAGAGTTAACACAGAGGTGTTTATAAAAATAGAGGGATGTCACTCGTGCTGCAGACAGAACTAGAAAAAAAAAAACAATGAGAGACTAAGATAAAAAAAGAAAATTTGAAATGGCTTGAACTCTGTACATGTTTGGCTGAACAGCTCAATGCATCCTAATCTTCAAAGGCATCCCAGCGGATATGCACATGTGCTACACCAACCCTGATTTAAACTTTGTTGTTTTCCCAACGTGCAAGATCAATAGTCTCAGTGAGGTGTGAAAAAACATGAAAAAGGAAAACAAAAAAGTATCAAGATTAAAATAAAATAATGCATTTCCCTGAGTTGCATCAATACTATCCATATATGTAGAAAAATGAAAAAGAAAACTTACATTTGCATCCTTCCTATCAGCTATACAGACAGCAAAAGCCTGTCCCTATCAGTTTTGTACCTTTTTGTCAGGTTCAAGAGAAGGAAGTAAAAAGACACAGAAATAGCTAAAAATATTATAGGGCCTCGTGCTTAAATATGTATGGATGTTAGTTTATTTCATTGCAATCTGATACAAGAAAGAAACACAAACATTCATATACAATTATCCCCCATTTCTTCACCATGTGTGATATCTGATAGCTTTTGGTTGCATGAGATTTTATGAATGGATCAATCAATCAATTATTTTATCAACTTTATTTCAAACGAACCAGTAGAAAATAAGGGTTTCATAACAAATAATAAAATGCAAACAATGAAAACCTATTTATCTTCACAACTATGCACCAATTTGATCTGGTCTGACACATAATATAGCATTATAATACATAATCGTTTGTAATTTGATCAAATGTGTTATATTTACAAACAAGTAATTTGAAAGGAGCTGAATAGACTATTGTAATTGTGCCATCCATGCTCGTTTGTTGGGAACTAATCCTCATAGCAGCTCTTATGCCACCTTACAGCCTGCCTTTCTCTTCATAATAGGATTAAAATTGCACCTGCAGTCATATTGAATGATTTCCTAATTTATTTCCTGTTGCCTAAATTCTCCAGAATGCCGTCATTCATTTGGTTCTCTTTTGGATACCTCAATAATTAGTTTTGCATTCTCCCTTATCGACACTCTTGCAATAGGGGATCTTTTATTTTCTGAGCTGACACTCATGTGAATTAGGAGAATCTCTGTAATGTATTCCTGTCTTGCTTTGCGTGTTTGGTATTTAGATGAGTGACAGTAAATGGTATAATAAGTAATTTATAACTTTGTGCAGGATGGAAAGAGAAAGCTGCTGCTGGGAGCTAATTAAAAGAATAACATGTTCAAGAGTGAGAAATGAGAAGTGAAGGAAGTGAATCACATTACAAACCTGACTTCCTTTTAGGCCATGCGTGTCTCATTCTGACTTTATGTTTGGCAGGATAACGTTTTTTTTCTTCTCCATAATTTAGTTCAATTCGCTCTCGGCTTTCAATGAACGAATGTGTCTGGGATTTCATGAAATCCTCTGATAACTTCTTACTCAGAAATGGCCAATAATAAATCCCAAAAACAAAGAGTTTTTAAGTGGGCTTTTTACTCGCTGTCATGTGACTTTAAATTTCAAGTCGTAAAAAAACGTTTCTTTTACTTTTTTCTCTCTCATAAAAGTTTTATTAGTGGGTTCTCTGTACCTGGCTGACATAAATACCAGTGTCCTCCTCATCATCAGTCCGGTAGCAGAGAGTCAGACCGAGCTTGTCCTGGCTGTTCAGCCGACAGAGTTCCACTTCCTGTTTAAGAAAGAAAAATAAATATGTTATAGATTGTTTTCTGTTTGCGATAGCTGAATGCAGTTCAACGCTTGTGCGGGTTGATCAGATTGGCTTACACAGCATGTCTTTTAACACCTAGGCAACATTTCTAAAAGTCCTGCAGGCTAGAGAAGTTCCATTTTCAACAAAAAGAGTTTTAAGACCCCAGTTTTTGGGCACCCCAGTTAAACTTATGTCTTTTAGATTTGGATTCAAATAAAAAATTGGGAAAAACATGCCAAGAGCAAATAAAACACTGGAAAAAAAAACTGGGGGAAAAAAGTAATTTTTTCTAAAAAGAACATTTTTTCTTGAATTGAGGAGGTAAGTGAGACACTTGGACAATTTAAAATTAAAATAAGAAAAAACAAATTGCATTGTCTCATTTCAAGTGCATATTATCTAATTATCTTATTTTAAGAGTAAACTTACTAATTCCATTGACAAATTATATTATCTACCTACTCTAATTAAGGGTAAATCCACTTAATTTAGGAAATGTTGACTAATTTCTAGATTGTTTTTTCAGTGAAGGGCTTAAATTGTTGTTGTCAGAATGCGGCATGTGTGCTTTTATGGAGTCATTGGCCGTTTCTAAATGTCCACCCTAACCACTATATAGGGCACTATATAGTTGTTACGCCATTCTAGATGAGTATCTGAACGTCTAGTGGATGACAAAGTAGTGGACTCGAAATTCCCCACAATGCACCTTAAAAAGTATTGATCAGCCATGGTCCCTAGACAAGCAGATATATCCCGGAATGCTTTGCATGGAGAGCTCTCCTCACAAAGAACATGGGATTTGTTGTCACAGCAGCCTGCTGTCACTACCCGGCAGTGGTGACAAAGAACAAAGATGGCACAGGCATCTTTGTTGGTTTAAGGTTATAGGTTGGAATTATGATAAAGCCAATTTATTATCCTTTTATATAATGTGTGAACAATGTCAATCAAATCCTAAAAACTCAAACTCTCTTAATTTAAGATAATACGCAGCTTTGACCTTTTCGAGGTTGTAAAAAGAGGTAGCTAACGTGAAGCTGCCCACAACAGAAATATTTGACTGTTCTTAACTATGAAATTTATAAAACCTGGACCTTTGGGCCTATTGTTCTTTTATGTGACAAACCTGTTCTCTAACATTTCTGTTCAAATGACTGCATTACCTCCTCACCATGTCATTAAGCTGTAGAATCCTGCTAATCAGCAATTTGTAGGTCAGTTATGTGCCAATAGGGAAACACCTATAGCAGTTAGGATAGTGAGCCTGAGTACCAGTTCTCTATCCTACACCCACTTCTTCATGGCCCTATAGATTTTAGTTTGTTCTCTTGAGTACACTTGCATTTCAACTATACTATTTCAACATGGTCTGGAGCAGGGAATTGTCTAAAAGGTCTTTGCTTCCTGAACAGCTTGTTTTACCGAAAAAAGGGAAATATGCTAATCCTTGAAACACAACCCAGCATCATTGTCCCACCACTAAACTTTAAACATAACACAATTCATTCATGCATGTAATCCTGGCAACCAAACTCAAAACCACTTGAGTAACAGACAGAAAAACCATGATTCGTTTAGACACAGCTTCTTTGTCACAGAAAGCAGTACCATGAAAGTCTCTATGCTTTATTGTTAAGCTAACCTGAACCAGCTGTAATTTCTACTGCTCTAGGTTTTGGCTCTGCAGAAAGATGCAGACTTTTGCTAACTTTGCATTTATCTATTCTATGATGTCATGGTCTTGGCGCTGATGGTTGGCAGTTTCATTTCACCTTCTAATTTGCCTGGCGGCTCACTAACGCTTATCGTTTTCTCCTGGTTCCTTCTGCTATGTATGCTGTCTGTCTACCTACCATCGGCACCAGATTATTCCAGATGTTTGGTGAGAGTAAGTCTAATGTTTCAAGTAACTGTTCAGGGATTGTGATTCTGACCTGCTTTCTGCCTTTGGATATTTGAGTTTTTGCCTCACGGACACTGTTGCCTCCACGGCAGCGGCTGGCGCCAGCTCGTCATCACCCTGAGCTCTGGAAGCGGCTACGGCTGCAAGCGGTGGACAACCTCCCTCCCGAAATCCTCCCCTCCCTCTGGGAACTCTTAACCAGAGAATCTGGTTATCCTCCCCTGATGACCAGCTGCTCGCTGGATCTTGTATTAATAAAGCCAGTGGAAAATCATCCTAATCTGTTTGCGTTATATTGGGTCCAACGTTCTGAGGTCATTATGATACATGATATTCTATATAGTGAGTGAGTAATGTGGTTTTCCTATCTGTTCACTTTGTTGTGATACAAACAATAGTTGACTGTGAAATACATTGCATAATTTTGTAAATTCCTCGATCAAAAAGGTGGCCTCCTATCAGCTAATTTACCTGAGATTCCCTAAGCTTGGAGTGACCCATTTACACACTTTGTAGTACTTGGGAGCATACTTGTGAGCTTGACTTCTATCTGAACCCTAAATTCTTGAGTCCTCCGTTTCTGCTCCACTCATGTAAACTCCCCTCCACCCTACGGAGCAAATAAATTATGTTGATGAAATTAAGAGAATGGTTCCACATTGTCTGTAGCTCCACAGAACATCAGCATCCTTCACTGTCAAAATATGGAGCAACTCCGTTTCTGTTCTGCTTCAGTATGCTTAGCTCAAAGAACTTGGAGCAGAGCTTGACGGTGTTTCTACGAATGCAGTAGGCATTGCCTTTCACTAATGTGAAAATCTGTGGTTGATTGATAGGAATAGGTAAGGTTTGTCAACTTAACTTTAGGTGTTTCAGCCATTTTGTACCCAAATATCTAGTTTGTAGATAGCATTATATAATGGACTTAAATTGCCTGTATGATTTGAGGTTCTCATAACCATTTCTCTCTAAAAAGCTTGTCTAAAAAATAATTAATGAGTACATATGCTATATTCTGGACAGCAGCCTCAAGTCCTCTAAGCACTTAAAACCCACCTTTCTGTGGTAATGAGAATGTTCCTGCAGCATGCTGCTCTTAGTGTATGTCACAGTATATCAGTTTATTTTTCTTTATAAAAACTTCCTTTTGCTTATGCCAAGAGTTTTAATCTTAACTAAATCTTAACATGGAGGATGCAAACAACACACTGTTTTATAGACAGTTGGGTGATATTTGTATATTTGTAGCTGTACGGAAATGTCTCCAGCACGGAATCCATTGAAGTAATGGCATCTTCTTTATACATATTGCTTAACTGTCGCATTGTCAGCTCCACCTTGGGTTTTGCACAGCAATTAACTGAAAAGATGCAAATCTCAAACTAAGTCAATTCAGAAGAGCCACACAGGATATATCTTTCATGTCTTTGCACACCCGCCACAGGACATTTTACCAAATTTAGTCCTACTCATTGCTGGTTCCTTTTGATCTCTGCTGTGTATTAAGGTAATCATATAAAGATAACTCTAGGGGTAATCTTTATTAACCTCCCTCTGCAAAATCCATTTCAGTTCTATGATGAAATGAAAGAAGGGTTTTGGGATGGAACGTTGGGTAAGGAAGGGGGTTGAGCGTGGTGGAGGGGAGGAAAAAAAATTAAACTTGCTCTCAGTTTTTCACTGTCAAGAGAAACAATGATAGCAGAGATTGACAGCGGAAGAAATTAATTTCTGCAGCATTTGACCCCCCTGTGCAAACAGCCCTGACCTTCAAAGGTTGGGTTCTGGAAGGAGCTTATGAATTTGTTGTACAACAGACGGCTTTTTAATAGACACAATCCTAATCTGTATCATGGACCGGATGCAAATTGTGTGGTCTGAAAGGTTGCAAGGGATTACTAGACTTTGTGTTCTAAATAGAGCACAGCTGGAGTGTTATAACATAATTTATTTTTTATTTTTACAAGACTAAAAAAAGGTATCCTTTCTATATTCCAGATATATATTGTAAATACACAAGAAATCTGAAGCTACAATGACAATAGGTGTCATTCTGTTACTAAGGGTTACATTGGGAAAAATTTTTCAATCTGATATTGGCTTAAAACACATCCCTTGCCTTACTCAACTTCTAATATTGCCAACCATAACATTTACTTGCTTATTGTTCCGTCGATTCACTGGTTCAGGTGTAAGCAGCTTTAAATATATGGGAGATAATTTGGCTATTCAGCGTTCAAATATTGCTAATCCATTGGGGCCGAATACCGAATAATTTCCATCTAAACAGAAAATACAGAAACAGAAATATCCGCTTTGCAGAATATGCTAAAGTAATCACATTTTGTGGCCTTGTCCACACGTCAGTAATAACTTCATGGATTAACTAGTAAAACTAAACCATAAATTGTGTTAATCTGGGCCTTTTAAATGACAAGTCCTCTGTTCTTTACCTCACTAATGTTTTCCGTGTTACTAATTATGTTGCATATTTGAAATCTCAATGTGAAACAAAACAGCATAAAAGAGGAATTCTTTTATGGAGAAAAACATTTTCCCTACCCTATACCACCCTTTTAAATACATAAGTACTCAACCTTGTTTTCAACTTAAAGTTCTTAACGCTTAACTACCGTTTTCCTAAAAACAGGTTTACTTGAGATAATGTTTGTGGTTTTCAAGATGCGATGAATAGAAAATCTGAATTGGCATCTGTGTACAGACCAAATTAAAATTTAACAGTTTTCCAAACAGAAACTTTCTCCAGTCTAATCCCCTTTTTCCACTTTCTAAATTGCACAAATGCAAAATTTGTCCATAATAAACTATATCTAGCCTCAAAGATAGCTTTACACAGGGACTGGATATATAAGTGTGGTTGAAACAAATGTATTTCAAATCAGAACTCATGCTGTCTAGTATTTGGCAGAACCACCGTGTGTATTATGACAGCCGTACCCATGTGGGCAATCAGTTTGAAGTGAGGTAAAACCTGTCAGTTAGAAGTAATGTTCCTGGGAATGACAGCCGTGCTTTCTGCAAGAGGAAAACCATTCTTGTTTCGGTCAGATACACATGAATGGACTCAGTAAAGCGAGAACAGCTGATTTAGTGTGGGCATGTCTGGCAATTGGGGGGTGTTTGAGTGAACTTTGTACAGATGTTGTTGTTCTGATACTGCTGTTACTACCACACAAATCCCTTCTTTCCCGACCCTACCCCTGATCAGAAATTGGGGCCCTTTCATAGAGGCCATGCCGTGAGGTCAAAGGCCAAATCCAGCAGCAAAAGGAATCCTAATAACCAAAAACACAGTCCACTGAACCAGGAAGGGCCTATTAAACCACACAGAAACACAGACAAAGCAAATAATAGCCCCCACTTTCAATCTAGTAGAGCCTTGAGGTAACATCATCTAACTGACACAAAGCATCTCCAGAAATATTACATGAAAGGTCAACCTGGGCTTCGAGGAGATACATTTTAAAGTAAATGTTATATATACATTTCTAAGCTTTCTTATAATGTTATACTAAAACAAAAAGTACCACTAAATGTGTGATACAAATTTTCCTTCCACCGTCAAGTCAAGGAAAAAGGATACTATTAGCAGGGTAGTTGGGAACCTTTATAGCTTCTCCTGAAGCAAAAGGGATTCCTAGTTGTCATTTTTCAGTAACATGAATCCTTTGAAACCAGCATTTACAGTAGATGGTGCATGTTAGAACATAGTGAAGTGTTTTGAATGGCAAAGCAGGCTTAGCAGAAAAATAACATGACAACAATGAAGCTTGAAATCTTATGTTCACACGTTCACACCTAAAGGTTGATTTACACTTTGAAACTAGGTCGTCTGCGTAGGTGTCGCGGTGAACGCAGAGACGTCCCTGCCCCCTCCGCAGACGCTGCGCCTCTCCCAAATTGTAGGTGACCGCAGACAGTGCCGCAGACAGGATGCCTCTGATTGGTCAAATCTACATCCGTTCTACACTATGCGTATCTCCTGTTTTGTGTTTTACCGGCTTGTTTGTATGACCGCAATTGCGGAAAACGACTTATGAAGTTTGGTCAGTTAGAAGAGTGAAGTGTGTGAGAAGGCTGGAACCCTTTTTCCACCTAGAGCCCCAATCTTTTTCGCCCTCATGTCCCTCCGTTATCGGACAAACTTGCCCCCACTTTCTCACTGCCTCGGCCATATCTAGAACCACAGCTAGTTCGTGATTTTCCCCTTTTGCGTTTTGGCATGGAATAAGTGCAGAACGTGCTTCAATATTGAGCATAAATCAAAAATGTCTGCGTCAAACCTGCGACAAGCTCACTGCTACACACTGCTGCGGGAGTATAACCAGCCCTTAAAGCAGCAGAAGCAGCTAGTTAACAGGCAAAGTCAATGGTTGTTACGCATCAAGGTTCAGCAAAAGGTCCTGCAGCACATTTTAAGAAGCAGGGGCTGCTTCAGCTGCTTTTTGACCGCACAGCTAGAGCACCAAAGATGCTTCAGACGCGCATCAGAACTAAACTTGTACAAGCATCAAAAAAGTGTTTTTGCTGCTCCTGCTGCTTGTTGTCTGAACGTAGCATTATTAGTAGACTTACACCAGTCAATCTGCAGCACTCGGAAAATGTCCGATTTTCATGTCCGGACATTATGAACTCTAATTTTAAGCGTCCCTGTGGTGTTGATGAGTTTTTTTCTCAAAGTGGACCCACATCTTTCACTTCCGCTTGTTCCATGTTTGTTTAAGTCAGAATGCCTAAATCAGGGGCACAACACACCCGGACAACAGAGTTAAGGGGACACAGCATTCACAGTGTGAGAACAACGTGGGAGAGAGCACCATAACTGGCGGCCATCCGTGCCCCCCTCTGGCCATAAAGAACTTGAGCAGAAGATCGCTGGGCAGACAGCACATCAGAGCGGGGAGATAAGGCAGCTCAGGAGCAGAGCAGAGGAACATGGCAAAAGATCAGATAAGTCTACTGCGGACACAAAATGCTGAAGGTAGGGGAGAGGATACTGCTGACCTGGAGTAGAACAGCAGTAGTTTTGAAAAGCCACCCAGGGATAATGAGCAGAGAGAGGCTACAGCTAGCCTAGACTAACTTCTAGAGCAGGGGTCACCAACGCAGAACGCGCATTCACCAAGGACCTCAAAGACCACATGCAATGTCCTCAACGTCTTCTGAAAACAGAACACCTCACCAGTGGGCTAAGCATGAAATTTTATTCTGTTTTTCTTCTTTTTGATAATTTATAGATAATTTAATCATATTAACCATATAGAGTATTTTTAGCATTTTTAGAAATTAGAAAATGACAATATTAAAAACAAAATAACAAATTAAAAGTTAATAAATATGTGTTTATTATGGATGAAGTTTAGGTGGACGCTGACTCTTACAGTTCCTAGGTCAGTATTGGTGGCCCTTCCAATGACACAGTACCCACGAAGTAGCCCTCAGCCTTAAAAAGGTTGCCGACCCCTGCTCTAGAGGCTAACTGCTGGAGATGGAAGGATGACAGCCGGGGATCAAAGGAACCTGTGGGCAGACAGCGCGGAGGAGCCGGGAGAAAAGGCAATTGCTCGTCGATGTCTACGATGGAGGTAGGATGAGGAAACAATCCTTCCAGGGACAAATTTTAACAGCTTTTAAAAAGCCATCCACACAAAAAGCATTTAACATTATTTTCTCTATCTTCATTTGATTTAAATCCACAGCTTCATTCACTAAAGGAGTGCTGAATTCATAAGTTAGTAGATACTGATTTTTATCATCACCTCCTTTTTTCTGCTTGTATTTTTTTGTTCTATTTTATTTTTTTATCTATTTCTAATGTAAAGCACTTTGAATTGTCTTTGAACTGAACTGTGCTATACAAATGAAGCAGCCTTGGACGACCCATGGGTAATCCCAATTAACTAAGTAGGATGTAAATGGTTTGAGGTGTACCATTGTGGACACAACTGAGTTAAGAAAAAGGCCCCCAACTATACATCTTGATTTCCTATGATAATTGGTTGTTAGCTGATTCCATAAAATCACAATAAAATAGTTTAGGGTTTGTGAATGGAACGTGAAGAATTATGAAAACTTCCAAAGTGTATGAAATCTGTTTTGAAGAGATGCATATGAAGAGTAACCCTACCTCATACTCATATTCCTCAGTCCTCTCGACGTCTGCTGTAGTATTAGAAAGGTACTCTGGACATTCATAAAACTCATGTTCCATGGTGTGGATGGACTGACAGCTAAAGAAAAGAAAGGAAATTAAATTTGTGATTATCTGCAGGATTTCCTTTTCCATATGCACATGCGCTATTGTGTGGATAACATAAGATCTGTTTATATAACTTGCAATATAGAACATTTTGTTGAAATTTCATGAACCAGACGTTACAAGCAGTTATTTATATTTTTTCCCCGCATTCCAAGTCCTTATAATAAGTCATCTCATTTTGTAACTAACCAGGCAACAATTCCCCTCATTAAAACCATGAACTCTGAAAATTGACCGTGTGACTGCCTCTCTGTAATTACTGACCAAGGCTGTAGAATCTGTAGTTTTATGAGGTAAAATTAATTAATTTCTATCCAGGAAAGTTCTATAAAAAGCATCAGAATGGATGTGGTATCAGGCTGCCTACTCTATCAGTCCATTGGATTTTAATCGTCTGGCAAAAGCCTTCATTAAAGAAAATGGATGTGGTATAGTGAAGCAATTACTGCATGCCAGCTTGGCAGTGCATAATCATAGCACACTGCTGGGCTTTGCTGGGTTTCTACCCTGAAGAGCTGCTGAATAGTTATTATAAAATAAATGCAATAAGTGGTTGCCCTCACCTGTCTGAGAGCAGGAATGGACAGATGTCTGGGACTGGCGGGGTAGCCGGTCGGAGCTTGGACAATGCCATGATGTGCTCAAAGGTGATGTCTGTTTGTGTGCAGACATCGACCACACACACATCCTGTGCGGAACCGGTGTTTCTTTGCACAACAGTGGCTCTGGTGGGGGTTCGCCGGAGGACTTGGACAACGATGGGGTCTCGCCTGATGGTTTCCACCACTGATTCGTCATGTTCAACCTTGGAGAAGTCACGCCCGTTCACCTTGGGTGAGAAAGAACAAAAGACCATAATGAAACAAGTCAGCATGAGCAGAGGATGAAACTCTAAAAAACCTTGACCTCTCCTTCATGTTGATAGAAAACTATTTACTATATGTTGCAGATGTTTGCCTCTCTTTGAAACTTTGTTAAGAAAAATGTTCTATCTGAAATTACAGTATCAGTCCAAATCCTTTGTGCTATCCAGCAGCATCTCTTTTCACATTGTAATCTACATTTTATTTGCAGGATCTAAATGGCACCCGTTAAGGCATGAACTAGGTAAATTATTAAAGGGGAAGTTTAATAAAAACTAGAAAAAGTTGCATTTCCTGCGAAAATGCAGTGTGAATGCTGTACGCTAAACTGTAAGCTGTAAGGTTAAAATGGCAGAAAAAGGCTGAAATTGAAAGTCAAAGCTGCTGAAATGGTATGGAATAGCAAAAAAAAGTCTAATTAGTTTCTTAAAAGTAGCTGAAGCCAACAGCAGAAACATGGCAGACATGTTATGAATTAACAGCAAGCAGAAAAGCTTAATGCCTTTCCAGAAAGAGAGCAGAATCAAGCCAAAATTGGAAAAAATATGCAGAAGTTTAATAAAATAGCAAAAACAGTAACATAAACATTAAAAAAGTTGAATCTTAACTAGTTGAAGACAAAAATGAGTAGCTTAAGGATAGGAAGATAAATGTTGAATATGTATAAAAAGTATTAAAGTCTGAAATCATATGTGGAAATGTCAAGACTTGTAAAAAAAATGTGAAATTAATTAAAATGTGTCAGTTGATCAGCATAGAGAAAACAGTGTCATCCTTAGAAGCTTGAAAATCCACACACCAAAGTACAAGACTGACCATAAGAAGCACAGGAAGGACAGAGAGAGAAGCTTATAAAAAGAGAGCTAATAAAACTTAAGGAGCTGAATTTATCAAAAAATCTAACCTGCATGTTATGAGCTGCTGTGTTGATGACAGCACCGTTGGCAGGCTTAGGCTGCATGTTACGAGGTTATCAGATGCTTTATTACAGTGTAAATCTTAGAACCTGATTAAGAAATATGCACTGAGGTGTGTGGTCAACAGGCCTTGGTAGTGTAATTTGAAGAAATTGGTTGAGTTTGGGTCATAGCTATGAGCCATACGGCACAATGAATGAGTGTATGTAAGAAAGAGGCTTTTATTTTGTAGAGTCCCTTTAGTCTTATTTTGAAAGTCTATCATGGATGTGTTTCAAGGGAAGGGTCATGCCCAACAGTGATATAGAATCCATTTCTAAATATGAAATCACTTGTTTTCCATGTTATTGGGTGAATAGATGCTGTGTTAGAGCGTAAATGGGAGACTTTTATTGTGAAATTCACTCCAGGGTATGTTTTGAAAAGGTCCCTAGAGTCTAATAGAAACAAGCTGGTAGAGTTTGGGTCATAATGCTGAGCCATTTGCATCAATTAATACACAAGTATAATATAGAGGCTTTTATTTTGTAGGGTCACTGGAGTCTTATTTTGAAAGTCTAGCATGGTTGTGTGTTGAGGAAAAGGGTCAGACCCAGCAGTGATACTTGATGACTTTCCAATCATTAAATCACTCTTTCCCCTGTTATTAGGGCAGTAGATGAAGTGGCAATGGGAGGCTTTTATTTTGAAATTTGCTGTGGGGTGTGTTTTGAAAAACCCCTAGAGTCTCATTTTAAAAAAGTGGTTGATTTTGGG